TGGATTTTAGAAACTTACCCTTATTCTTGAAGTTTTAAGAATGCAAAATCGTAACTCAATGGTGGTCTTGATCCAATTTCACCACAACCAACAACACTCTTACACAACATAACATGTCTAGGCAAAAGGGAAGCCAAAAAATGTAAATATAATATGCCAAATGAAAAATAAATAAAAGATTGGAGTTACATTCGATTTTACTCAAATTGTGAAAAGCTGATTTTCCTTTTTCATTTTGCAAGTTGGTATTTAAAAATCTAAGATCAAGATTCAAGAGTTTGATTACACAAAATAAAAATAAAAATAAAAAAACGAAACTTAATCGCATTGCATTTCAGATACACCCATTTAAAATTGATTGCCTTAAGTTATTACGCAAAGTATTAATAGATATTAACATTATTTTTTTGTCAAAAAAATAATAAAATGATTATTTATGGAAAAAAATTAAATTATAAATATCTTTAATTACCCGTGAAATTCCCGATACGTATTTTCTGAAGCAATAGATAATTCAAAACTGTTATTCTTAGAAAAATATTTGTAGACTAATCACTTTTATTTTTGAAAACAATTGTTTTTAAAATTTAGAAAAATATATTTTATTAAATTTAGAAACTTCAACTCATCACATTGTTATTACTCTTAGGGGGCGTTTGATTCAGGTAAAAAAAATTTTACCAGGAAAATGTAATTACCAAGGATCTGCAGGGAGTTAGATAAGAAAGTTAAAAAAAAAAGTTGTTTGGTTGAGCCAAATATTACCAGACAAATTGATTAAAGTTTTTGAAATCTATGTTTGGTTGAGAATAAAATATTGATGGGTAAATAGTATAAAATTACAAAAGTAACCCATAATTTTTTAATATTAATACAAGTGGTCATTGCTCTTTAGATGAGGGTATTTTGGTCTGCTTTTGGTTACCCTTCTTGCCATTTAGCCTGCTAGCTACACAATACCACCTCCAATTGTCTTTCAGAACAGTGACTTGTGCTTGCATTTTACGACCACTTCTCAAATACTATGATAGAACAGCTGAGGAAATTTTTCAAAATTGTCTACCAAACATGGACGTCGTACTTTTCCAAAGTCATATGTACTGGAAACTATTTGAAAATATTGAACCAAACACCACCTAAGTAAAAATTTTGGGTTTAACAAGTTGTCACCAATTAGTCATCCCTTTTTACTTAAATTAAATTAATTTTGAAATTTTTTTATGTTTCTTAAATTAGTATAATATTTAGGATAATACAAATAAGTTTGGATCCTAAATCATCTCGGCTCAATCACTCCTTTTGAATCAAAAGAAATTAATTTTAATATGTTTATTTCTTATAATCCGCACAAAATTCATAACAAAAGAATAATAAATTTATGTAAGTTTGAATAATTAAGTTATCACAACTAAAATGATCCTATATAAAAGTCATAATAATATCAGTGGCATAGCCACATTGGAACCAGTAAGTGCCTTGGAACTAACTAATTTCCAAAATCAAAAGCTTGTTTTGATCTTCAGTGACTGTAAATTGTTTGCTTCCTTCATAGATGCTGATTTTGACACTGACTCTCTCCATTATTGGCTAATTTTTGGTACTAGCTTTTCAATTTTCTGGCCGGTGCATAATATTAACAAGTCGTTACGGCTTAATCACACTTTTTAATTAGAATAATTTTTTAAAAATAAAATCACTCGCTATTAAATCCCGATTAATTGCAAATAGAATTCAAACACTAACATTTCAATTACAAACAACAACTTTACCATTACGATCTCTTTAATATGCTTTTTATAAAAAAAAAATTGTTAAAACTTTTTAATATAATTTTATATAAGTTTAGATATCATCAACCTATTACAAATAAAATAACTCTAAATGTTTACCCCCAAAAAAATAACTCTAAATAAACACAATTAGTAGACCGTTGTAGCTCAGTCATCCCTTTTCATTAAAAGAATAAAAAAAAATAACAGATTCATAGTTTGTTAACATTTCCAGTTAAAAAAAATGAAAGAAAAACATAAATGTTAGGAAATAATAAAAAAAGAAAGGAAATAAATTATTGAGCAGAAAAAAGTGTAGTGTTGACTAATGACTACAGACTTTTTATAATAGCAGTTGTACGTACTAATGTTTAAAATGTAGACGACGTGATACCAAATTATTTTCTTTTCTTTTTTTCACAACCAAATTAGTTTCTTTTGAGGTTTTATGAAACTCAGTAACATGATTACCAGATGAGTGTCTACGTAACCCTTTTGGTGATTGGCTCATATTTCTTGAGAACTCTCCATTTTTGGCTTCATCTACCGGCTTTTTGATCTTAGTAGTCTCATTTTCATAAAATTTCACTGAAATAATTGACCTTATGGAAGGAACCTTCCACAACTTTTTTTTTTCCCATTTATTATATATGTTTTATCTTCAATGTAACATTTTCATGTACATTATAATGAGGCTAAAAAAATCTTTTAATAATTATTTTTTAAAATTTAAACTTTGATTCTCTTATAAAATTACAGTTTGTTTAATTCTTACTAATATATTGACATTTCTCTTTAATATTACGTAATAATAAAAGTTGACTCAACTAAAAGAATTAAATTGCATTATCCATCATTTATTAGTATTTTTTGTAAACTTTTGTTAAATTAATTTTTGAAAACTTTGAAGCAAAATTAATTTTTTCATATTTTTCTTATCTTAAGCAAAGTTTTTTTTTTTTAAATAAAGAAAAAGAGATTGGATCATTTAAAAAATAATAATAATAAACATGACGGGCGCAATATTTAACAAAACTTTGAAGCAAAATTAATTTTTTGCATATTTTTCTTATCTTAAGCAAAGTTTTTTTTTAAAAAAAAACAAAAAGAGATTGGATCATTTAAAAAATAATAATAATAAACATGACAGGCGCAATATTTAAAAAATAATTATTAAAAGAGTTTGTTAGCCGCATTGTAATGTACATGAAAATGTTACATTGAAGATAAAAAATATATAATAAATGGAAGAAAAAAAGTTGTGGAAGGTTCCTTCCATGAGGTAAGCAACTTCCCACATTAACTCATCTTAGGAGGTAGAAATAAGGAACACGTTTACTAGATGCTTTAATTAATAAATGGATGTAACGATAAAGTAACTAAGGCATGGCCATGGGACGCGGCATACAGAGTACCGCGTTGCCTTCAATCGGATCGGACATACACTAGGATGCAGCTAACAGGGTATCACGTTTCAGTGGTTAGGAGGACGCAGTTGCTAAAGTATCACGTCTTAAAGTGATCCCTAGCTACGATACCGCGTCGTTATGCATTATTTAGATAATACTTTTTACCAGAAAATTATTTAGATAAAACCTTAGGAAAATGAGACTACTAAGGTCAAAAAGCCTCATCTACCATTCCACTCCAACATGTTTCGTGACAACTACTCTCGTCATTGAGAAGTTGTCAACAATGCAAGACGTGTTTTGATTGCTGACACTGACAGATAGTTCAATCTTTGACCATTATTTTAATGTTTTAACATGCTACTCGCCCCCCACTACGTGTGTGTTCATATCATATATATATATATTTACCACAGGAATGCAAATGAAGCAAGCAACCTTGTTTCTATCTTGGGGCTTGAAGCTTGATCAGTTCATGGCTTTATCTTTCTTTTGCTGCTTCTCTGAATCATCAGAATCCAAAAAGTTTATATGTGATGGTGATGTTTGTATTCTCAGAGATCGGAAGAAGTACCAAGCAAAAAAATCCAAGAGCAAGATTTCGAAAAGCTGATATAAGGAATGGTTTTGGCATTATTAAGAGCCTTTAAGCCTTTCCAAGTTAGAACCATGTCTTATGTATGTTGTTTGATTTTATGCAAGTTACTATTTGTAGTAGAGTATACTCTTTAAAGGAGATTAGAGAAAGAATTTTTTGTTCAACTTCTCTTCTCTACTTGATTACTTAGAATTCCCATCTTTTTTGCAAAATAAAATTTTGTTTTAGATATAGTGTGGCTCCTAATTTCTTGTCTCATTTTGTCTATAAATAGTTTCTTACTGATTTCAGTTATGTCCAATGTTTGAAATTGTGGACCACAACACTTGATGCAGTGGATTTAAAATATAGAGTATAAATAAAAGATAGTGAAAGTACATTGAAAAAGTATTTATTTTTTCTTCTAGAAAACTCGCTAGAGATTGGAGGAAATAAATTCTATGATGTGAAATTAAGATATTAGAACTCACGTTCTATATTTGTTTATTTTATACCTGGTTTGATGCTGAGAATTGAAACCATATACCAATTCAATAAATTAAAAAAGACTTTTATACTTTTGCTGTTATTGCAAAAGAAATTTTTTGTAACTACACTTAAAAAGTCTGAATATGCCAGCTGATCCAAATTTTTTAAAGATTGATGGAAAATATGCCAGCTGATCCAAATTTTTTAAAGATTGATGGAACTCACTTTTTCTGTGACTGCTGGACCAAAAAAACCGGTGCAGCAACAGCAGAAGTTAAGACCCATTGATCCATTAAAAAGAGAGAGAGATAATTAAAGCACATCATTCTTATCATTGTGGTTTGTTTTTTTGAGGGTGAAAATAGCCCACTAGATACGTGTTTACATTAACTTATTTTAGAGTCAAAAAAAGGTTTTCATCTTATAACTTTATGAGAGTTTCTGAGGAGAAGAAAATTATTGTACAAAATTAACAAAGAACTTCCCCAAACATGCACCAAGTACAAGCTAATTCCCTAGCATTAGCTTTGTAGGAGCAAAAAGTCCACACGGTAAACCAGTCCCATTGACGCTTAACCCTCTTGTTTGAAAATCACAATCACGACTAACAAATATGCCCAGATTTTCAGTGTCGGTTTAGAAAAGGAACATAAAAAACACACAAGACATGTTGGTATACTTCAAATCAGAATTTATTTAGAATTTGTTTGTTGGAGCAACCCAATCAAGTCAAATAATGAAAACGAAGCAGCGGTTTTTAATTAGTAACATGTAAACCTCATGTACAAAATAATCGCAGAATAAAGAAGTGATGCCCTACTACCAATTCAGATACATAAGTAGTCATTAACTGAACTAAATATTTAGCCAACCCAACTTCATCAAATGGCAAACAATGTACAGACATCAACAATATATTTTTCCTGATCATAATCAAATGACCCGCAGACTTTTCTATGGCTTCAACTATAGGTTAAAACAGACGTTCTGCAATATGTCAGTAGTCCTTATCCGGAGAAGATGTTAAGTTATTTTCTGTCAAATCCACCAAGTCTTCTGCTCTTGCAAACTCGTTTTGACTCAGGAGCCAGGACTACTTTGTGCCAAATCCCAATCCAGGTAGACTTCTGGCTCGTTCCCATTTAAGCAAGCCTTTTTGGATCAAAATTCAGCATTCGATGACAAGAGCTGCAAATTCCACAACCAGTCCAATTCCTGTGGAAACATCCACCCCAAGATAGCAATGCAATGTCACAGTTGCAAAGCCAGGTCTGGTTGCTGCACACCAGAAGATTGTTTTGCAGGTGACCCCGGAGATTGAAAACCAATATTCAAGTCAGGCGGAAGGGTTTCCTGTTTCTGCCTTGGTTGGCTATGAGGACTCAGACCTCGCCAAGGGGACTGCATTTGAAATCTAGATTGGTCAGCAGATGCTAATTGAGGGGAAACCATCGGTCGGTTAGGAACCTGTGAAATAGCACCTGTGTGAATAGGTTGAGGTACAAGTGCATGAAATTGAAAATTGTTCTTATCAGATTGGAAAGACATTCCACTAGAAGGGAACTCCCCCCGAATTTGTGAAATATGCTGATGGAACTCTCTCGTTGGGTTGTGCATAGAATCTGCAGAAATTTGATTTTTGGGTGAACTAGAATTGTCAGATCCTTGTTTAAACCCTCCTGCCTCTACAGACATCCATGCACGGGTAGCTGCTGCTGAAGCATTACCCGAGTCATCCCTCTGTCCAGATGGACCTGACAGTGTCACTGGTGGAATATCAACTGTGGAATGATTAGAATTATGTTGCTTTTGAGCCTTTTCAGTGAACATTCTCATCAACTGAACTGGGTGATGGAGACCCTGCTCCAGCCCATGGACAACAAAAGGAGCTGCTCTGCCTGTTTCGTTTGATGTACTTTCAGATGATGGACCAGTCACCCGTCTATTCAAACTTGTATCCGTGACTTTTCCACTGGGCAACTCTCCACTAACATCTCCATTAGTATCTGGCTGCTTGAAAGATGTAGATGGCAAAGCATTCATGTTCTTTGGCACCATCTCTCTCGGCTTAGACACTGCTCTAGGAGCATTACTTGTGAACTCTGCAACCAGATTGGAATTATTCTGATTACTTGAGGGTAAGGAATTCAACTCCCCTTGTTTCCAATCCTTATTCTGAGACTTGCCAGATTTCCTGGATTGGACTTTCTGCTTCTGATTTTGGAAGTTGACAGGACCATTGGGACTTGCTCCAGCAGAACCAAACAAAGGAGGTTTTCTTTCGGATGCAGGCCCACTTGCAGGACAATACAAAGGATGTTTTCCCTCAAGCCTCCGTCCATTAACGGGAAGTTCAATGGTGGGTTTCACATTCTCAAAAATTTTGTCACCCTTCAGTAATTCAGTAGTACAATGCAAATTTGTAGCTAAACTAGTTTCTTTTTGGACAAGATCATTGAGCATTAATACTGGTGCTGGAAGCGATTCATACTCTCCAACCCAACCACGGCCAAATTTACAGCCAGCTGGCAGTGCCTGCTGAATCATGTTGGAAGCAATTTTCCAAGCAATAGGTCCTAGAGATGCACTAAAACGAGCCAAACTCCTAGCGTAAGAATATTCTGCCCGAAGTCCAACCTGTATCCAAAAAATACAAATCATAATGTTTTAGCAATATGAGTAAAAGCCAACTATTCGAGAATGACAATTCACTCCTTTTGATACATACAGTAACCAGCTGCTTAATTTCACTCTCAAAGGTCATAAATATTAAATCTGATCTAGTAAATGGTTGATTAGACGTATTATATGATGCACGATGATTCTCATCAAGCACAAATGACTTCCTTCCCAACTTAGAGAGCAGACCCTTCCCTGAAACAATAAAGCAAAACAATCAAAATGGAATGACTAGATCTTTGACATTAGTATCTTACTTTGAGAATGTGTATAAAAGTGAATAATGAAGGCACAATGTAACACGAGAGAAGATTATAGCGTGATCACTTCTCTGAGATACCTGACAAAATATCTTCAGCTTTCTCTTGATTGGCATCAACCAAGAAAGCATTCCCCTTCACAATGCCATCAATATAGCCAGGCCTCTCACAGGTACCACCTTGCATTTGATGGGAAGGCTGTACATCTCCAATAGTAGCAAGAGTTTCCCCTGAGAAGAAATCAGAGCCAACAGGTTCCTGTGAGGGACGACCCAGTGGCTTCTTTGCTTGCTTCTTAACCAAAGAATTAGACCGTGTTTTTTGTTCACATTTCAGCTCTATCTGAGAGTGTTCAAAGTCAATTCTTAACTTTTCAAACTTTTTCCGCCCAAGTTCTTGTATTGATCGTGCCTGTAACAAATATAAGGGTCCAATAGTAGCACAACAAAATGGTTAATGACGCCACATTCGTTGGTAGGGGAACAAAGGGATGCATTGTGCTTTATACCTGTTTGTGGTATATAGTCTCCGGTGCATTGTATTGCATTGCATTTGAACAAATTAAAAATATATCACTCTGCATTCAACAATTCAATTCACAAGTCAGTGTAATCATAGTAAAAAAAATTTGTCTTGCAATTTTTACTCAATCAGGGAGACAAAATAAATGCACTATTAACAAAAAGGTTTAGATTATGGAGAAAACAAAATTCAGGATTTACAAGTAGAGAAGCTAGTTCATTCTCACACTTCTTGAATACCATGCATCACAGTTGAAATTGGTTAAAAAGCAATTTAGAATTGTCAGTACCAAGGAAAGCCACACTAATTGGAGAGAGAAAAATAAAAAGAAAACAATTTGTTCTTCCTCCACCTCTCTTTTTCTTCTGAAAAATAGGTCCACCTATGAGTGCCAAACAGCAACTAAATAGAAACCAACACATATCAGTGCTCCCCCAATGCCTAGCTAAAACCAGTATGAAAAAACTGTTTTCTCAGGGAAATCTTCAACTACAGAATTTTGTAAATCTAACAGAAAATATGGATTGCCATATGGTATACCACAAAGACACCGCCTCTAGAGTCCTACAAAATCGAGATTTTGAACCTAAGATCTAGTCTACCATAGCAATTCAGGCATTAACACTTCAGTTACACCCATGAAGAACAGGAAGCAAGAAACAAAACCATAAGCAAGAAATTGTATGCTTTTTAGACTTCTGAGTACAGATATTCCAAATTTTCAACACATATTAGCAAAATCCTGACAGACTCCATTTTCATGACAACACAACGAACAAGAGATGATGCATCGACCAATATGAAACTAAAATATGCTCTGAATAGTATAAAATGATCAATGACCATCTGTAAGTAACATTACAGAAAAAAAATGCTCAAATTTTGACAATACGCTGAATAAATTAAGAAATTAGCCATTCCAAATGTTTAGTTTACATACTAAGTATAAACTATATGTAACCGACTGTTGCTAACAACCCACATTTTTTTACTGATACATCTTTGGCAACAGCCATCCTTGCCGAATCCACAAAAGAAAAGACAGAACAAGTTATGCCTAAATTTGAGTCTCAACTCTCAAGTCCAACCAGTCCAAGCTATGACAAGTTCCAACACTCGTTATACCACAATGCAAAACAATCAAAATCTCGAACAAAAGAGAAAATTCCTCGAATCATGAACAGTCGAGACAAGTTTGCACACCTCAAATTGTTCTAAGGTAGGATAAGATCCATTTGCCAACTTCTTCCTCACGGTGGCAAAGTCCATGGGATGCTCAATCACATCGTGATAATCAGGAAGCTGCATGTCAAAACAGAATTTGAACTTCCAACTCAGGGGTGTCTTCCAAAAGCAAGATTACCAACTCACAGGAAGAAAATTCCACACACCTCTTCCGGATCAACTGGCTCTGAAAACACACCATACGTGTCCTTCCTGCCATCATTCAGACCCACAGCAGTGCCAAGTCAGAAAAACAAAAACAGCACCCAAAAACATGCACCACTATGCAATCATTCAAATCATCCATAAATACAAAAACCAAAAAACATTGAGAAAACCCATACTTCTGAAGCTTGTCAAGGATAATTTCCAGGGTCCTCTTATCAGGCAACGGAATCCCAGATGGGGGATTCGCTGGAAATCCTAACAGAAAGAAGAAGAAGAAAAAAGCAAATCAAATTGATAGAAACACACCAAAGGACGATGCAGAAACAGAACCGTTAGTACTCATCACTTTTTTTTCCTTTCCAAATTAAAAAAAATAAAAAATAAAATTTGCACCCACAACAATAACAACAATCACATCCACAACCGCAACAAGTACCCCATTAAAATCATACAAACCTGAAACAGAAACACAAACAGAAACAGATTGGAGCTCTTTCGAATCAACTTTTCTGCCCTTTACCTATCATCATAAGAAAAACACACACACACACACACTTAATACCGTCCAAAGGCCAATGACTGAGTTATATATTATATATAATAGAGTGCAATGGAGACAACATAAAGACAGAGAAAGACAGTATCACAGGTGTCAATATATATATATATATATATAGAGAGAGAGAGAGAGAGAGAGAGAGATTATATGTGTTAGTTCTTTTTTGACAGTTGACTTGCTAGTTCTTTTCTCTCTCAATCCCGACACGGATAGAGAATCCTAGAGAGAGAAAACAAAAAGAGAAAGAAGAGAGAGAGTGTGTTATGGACCAATCGGTTATCACACCAAACAAGAATCTCAGTGACACTAACACACTCTTTGCTTTTGCAGAATCCATTACCACATCGTCTTCGTCTTCTCTGTGCTCTTCTTCTCCATCCTCGTTCTCTTCCCCAACTTCAATTTCATCGTCGTCGTCATTTTCTTCTGCGCGAGTGCAATTCGGTGCCGAATCGCCTTCTTCTTGTTCTTCTTCTTCTTCTTCGCCATGGTTCAGCTTCACCATCAGCTTGAGCTTCTTCTTCTCGCGCCTCCTCTCGTCCTCGTCGTCGTTGAGGTAATCATCGTCGTATTGGATGATGTTGTACCTCACGTTCCGGCGACGGAGGCTTCGCCGGAGATCTGGCTGTGCTGTGACTGTCGAAGACTCGCCGGAGCGGCGGGCCAGATCCGCCTTCGACGGCCGTCCCTTCTTCCTCCTGGCGATCTGAACCATCGCCATCCCTTTCTCTCTCTAGAAATCCACCACTCTCTCTCTCTCTAGAAATCCACCACTCTCTCTCTCTCACTAAAATTCAGTTTTACTTTATTTTCTCTCTCTAGAAATTTGCTATTTTCTCTCTCATGCTGTATTTTCCCTTCTATCCGTTGTTTTTCGAGGGGGCAGGTTTGGATTCTTTCAGAGGCTCGGTTCCGAACCTAGGCGCCGAACATACGAACCCGAGGCTCGGGTGTGTGTTGTGATAGGGTTATACTTATATAATGTTACCTAAAAAATACTATTTGGTCCTATACTAACATAAAAGAAGAGAGAGAGAATGAGTTGAGTAAAGAGAAAATAAAAAATTATGGACTCTACGTTCTATTTGTTTGGGTAGGAAAATAAGCTTACATCATGTTACATAATAGATGTATTTTTCATTAATTAATTATTTCATTTCTCTGTCTGAGAGTTTGTAAAACGGCGCCTTGTGCTGCCTGCTGCCCCCAAAGCGCTTACGTGTACGTTTTCCTGCTGCCCGAGTGTTACGTCATCCTCGCTATTTTTTACTTTCAACCGGATCTTCGTCTCACTTGTGGCGCGTAGACCCACGTTCCTCACTCTCTCTTTTTTTCTTTTCTTTTTTATTGAAAACCTTGACCAAAAACATTGTGTTTAAAAAGGACATGATTATGTAAATAGTAATGATTAAAGTCTATGTAATTGATATAGAGAGGTATTCTGGTCTTTTCCTTGCTGCCTTCTGTTTAATATTTGTGAATCTTGAGCAGGTTTATAATAACTAACATGAGGTATTGAGTTATAATATTTATCCACACCCGTCCCCATGCATATTTCGGTTTAATTTATTTTGAAAATAAAAGAAAAAAAAGTATTATATTTATAAATTTTTTGTTTATAAATTCTTACAATACTATATATTTTTGGAAGTACATTAAGTTATATTATGTACATATATTCTCGGAAATATATAACGTAATTTGTAAAAATTTATAAAAGGAATTCTTCCCTAAAAAAAATTAACATGTAAGTGGTGGTATAAAACCATCACGTATTTCTATCAAATATGTGATGGTTTTATATACCGATCAACCATAACTGAGTTTAAGCACTTTTTCCTTTCACCATCAGCTAGCCTCCGATGACTCTCATAAAGTGGATGGAAATATCATGCTCCTTTACTTTTAATGGATGATGCACTATGTCTTCTTATCTGGCATGACAACCTAAATTCCAAATCCTTTAATAAATATGACAACACTTATTAGAAATTGAGTTAAAAATTTCAAATTCTTAACATAATGTTTTGATACGACACGACATGAATTTGATAATGGATCAAATTAATCATAAATTTTTCTTATCATATTTATGTTGTATCAAAGCATTGTGTTGAAAATTGCCACTTATTAGAATAAGAAATTGTGCTTAAAGAGAGAAAAAGGCTCCAAAATTCTTTTTTATAATATAATTTTTATTTTTGTTAAATATCGTAACACTTAACCTTCATAAAAAATTTATTTTAATTTTAGGAAACTAATTTTAATCCTAAAATTTTTTAAAGTAATTTCAAATATGGAAAACTTTAAAAATCTGCTATGATTTCTGTTATGGACCCATATAAGGGGTCCATCAAGTGGTAAGCCCAACAAGGGGCAATCCAATATATGAATCAATAATAATTATGGATAGGTATCCACCAAGGATACTAATCCTAATACGACGGCATAACAAGTAGGCCTGGGCCCTTACCAGAGACACCAAAGGCCCACCTATACTACCCACAAGTAACTTCTATAAATACAAGGTAAACCCTAAAGGTACGGTACGCTCTCTCTTACTATTATGCTGTCACTGTGCGCACACACCCCATTGGCTAACGCCGTTATAGTATTCTGTGCACAGTGATCTGCTTGACTCAAGGGTATCTTCTCTATAGATACCTTGGAGAGGGCACTAGATCCAAGAGAAACATACCAGCTTATTGGGCTGGACATCTCTGTCCCAAGGACAAAACATTGGCGCCGTCTGTGAGAAATTCTTCTCTGAATTTGAAGTTCCCACTAACCTGACGAAGGATGGAAATCCAAACAAGGAGCAGTAGCCAGCGGCCACCCTAAAACCAAAACCAACCGCTGGATCCAGTTCTGGAAGAGGCAAATGAGCCTCAACACCAGCTAGGAACTGATGTGGATTATGATCACGTCCATGTCAGCGAAGATGTCTCAAACACCGCTTCCACTCCAGCACGTCGTGATAGGGGTCCTGATCCAATCATGGCTCCAGTAAGGACTAACCCTCCCCAGCACCCCGGGGATCTTGCTGCGCGTATTGCCCAGTCAGCCGATCCAGATACTCGGCTGGCTCAAAATGCATTCGCTTCCATTATGCAGCGAATAGAAGAATTGGAAAATCGCAATAACCTCCAGCAGCAACAAGATTCCAAACAATACGAGAGGAAAGTACTAGGGAAATGCGAGACCTGGAACAGCGCTTAATGGCTTTAACTGGAAGAAACGAAGGCCAGGATGCCAATGGCCGGGAAGGAAATCGGAACTCGGTTCATCAGAATCGGGTTATAGAGGTGGAAAATCGTGAAAGGCCTTATCCGGCGAACACGACAAATCCGAACCCGAAAAACCAGGTTCTGGGGGGACAAAACGCTCCTCTGCAGCCCATGATTCAAAATGCTTCAACAGAGGCAAATGGGCAGAGACATCAGGATGGAACCCGTCCTCGCCGTGATGAACAGATAGTTAGAGGGCAGGTGGAATCCGGTGCCTACAGAAGAAAATACAGCAGGGGGAAGTATAACAACAGCCCCTTCACTGGGGAGATTTTGAATGCACCCTTACCAGAAGACTTTGATTTAGCACGACTGCCGAAATATAATGGAAGTCAAGACCCACAGGTCCATATCGATGCTTTCGCCACGGACATGTACATCCGAGGAATAGACGAGCCTCTTATATCTCGGATATTTGCCATAACCCTGACTGGGGCTGCGCAGACATGGTTATCTACCTTACCTGCCAACTCCATTAGGTCTTTTGAGGAATTTGGGGAAAAGTTTCTCTTAAACTTTGCAACTAGTAAGAAACACCCGAAGTCCGAGTTCTCGCTTGGAAAGATACATCATCAACTTGGAGAAACCCTCCAGAGATACCTCAACCGTTTCAAAGATGCTGCGTTGCAGGTGCCGGGTTTACAAGAGAATGTCCACGTACATCTCATTGTGGCTGGTTTGGACGGTACATCCAGACAAGCCAAGTCGGTCTATAAGGACCCGATGAAACGTTGGAGGAATTCAGAACTCGTTCGAAAAAATACCTTGAACTTGAGCAAATGGAAATTGCCAATGCGCAATCTGACGAGGGCAAAAGAATTAGCCTAAGAAGGAGAAGCCCGGCCCCGAAAGGAAAAGAACGGGTTGACAACGAGAAAAAGGAATCAAGGGTCCGAGTCCCGGATGGCCGGGATCGAGTTGGAAGATATGAGAAGTACACACCGCTGAATGCGCCACGCTCTCAAATCTGGAGGGAAGTGGCAATGATGGAAATGAAGAAGGTAGAAAGACCCCGGCCCATATTCGACAGAGGAGGTTTGGACAAGTCCAAATACTGTGCATTTCATGACGGACCGGGTCATACTACTGACCAATGTTGGGATCTCCGAGATGTTGTGGAGAAATTTGTTCGAGATGGAAGGTTACGCCAATACGTGATCAAAACCCAGGGTTCCAAAAATAACAAAAGAAAGTCGGGAAACAAAAATAGAAGTAAAAGCTCGGTCCCTGAAAAGAAAAACAAGGAGGAACGGAATCAGAATAATGATTCTAACCATGATGAGTTCTCGGAAGCAGAATTTGATTGCAATGTAATTAGTGGAGCCCTGGGAGGAGGAGGAGGAGGAGGAGACACAGTAAGTGCCAGAAGAAAGTATTTGAAAGAAGTACTCTCTATCCGAGACCGTCCTAAATTCAAGGAAGACCTGAGCAAACCAGACTCTCCCTTTTTGTACTTCACAAAAGATGATATGCATGTTGTGTTGCCGGGAGATGTAGATGGGTTAGTCATTGTTGGAACCTTGGTAAATTGCCGGGTTAAGAATATTTTCGTGGATGCAGGGAGTAGTGCCGACATCATACTCTGGGACGCTTTCAAAAAGATGAACCTGGATAAGGAGGACCTCAAACCCTGCAAAATGACTTTGATAGCTTTTAATGGAGAGCATACACCTCCTAAAGGCTACATAGACCTCAGGTTGACCTTGGGAACAAAAGAAGCATTCAAATCAGAACGGGTCAGATTCATAGTGGCTGATTTCCTATCCGAATATAATATAATTCTGGGAAGACCAACCATACACTAGTGGGACATGCAGGTTTCTACAAAGCACCAGAAAATAAAAATGGTGAGCAGTAAGAATGAAATAATTACTGTTTGTGGCGATCAAAAGGAGTCCAGGGGATGCTATTTCAACACCGTCAAAGAAAATGAAGGCGGACATTCGAGTCCACCTCGGATTCACCCAAGGGATAAACTCGGCAAGAACACAATTCCTCAACACTCAAAGAGGTCGGTCAACATGGTTGAACTAGACATAAGAGAAGAAGTAATCTCGAGACTTAAGCCCGATGGAGAATTAAAAGATCTAGCATTGGAGAAAGAACCTGGTCAATTTACCCAAATTGGTAAGACTATAGATCCTCGGATCAAGTAAGAGTTAGCCGGGTTTCTAAAAAACAACACGGATGTATTTGCTTGGAAATCATCAGAGATCCCAGGGATAGACCCTGCCTTCTACTGCCACAAGTTGGCAGTTTACCCCGGATCCACACTGGTTTCTCAAAAGAAAAGGAAGCTAGGACCGGAAAGGAAACAAGTCCTGGAAGAACATGTGAAGGAATTACTGGATGCGGGGTTCATTCGGGAAATACAGTATACAACATGGCTGGCAAACGTGGTGATGGTGAAAAAACCCAACAGGAAGTTGAGAGTCTGTACTGATTATACGGGCTTGAACAAGGTCTGCCCAAAAGACTCCTACCCTATGCCCAACATAGACTAGCTGGTAGATAACTCGGCTGGATTTCAATTGCTGTCTTTCATGGATGCATATTCTGGTTACAACCAGATTCCAATGTATCCAGGAGATCAAGAAAAAACCGCCTTTATTGCTGAAAAGGCCAACTACTGCTATAATGTGATGCCATTTGGAGCTTAAAAACTCAGGGGCAACTTATCAAAGGATGATGAATATGGTGTTTGAGGATCAGTTGGGAAAAAAATGTGGTAGTATACATTGACGATATGATCGTCAAGTCATTTGATATGACAAACCATGTCCAGGATCTCGAACAAACTTTTCAAAAACTCAGGAAATATCGAACCCGTCTAAACCCGGTAAAGTGTGCGTTCGAAGTCCCAACTGGAAAGTTTTTGGGTTTCATGTTAACCCATAGAGGGATTGAAGCAAACCCTGATAAGTGCAAAGCGATACTTGATATGAAGGTGCCACAGAATAAGAAGGAGGTTCAGTAGTTAACCAGCCGATTAGCTGCATTAACCTCATTTTTACCAAAGTCTGCTGAGAATGCACTCTCATTCTTTAAATTATTAAAGAAGGAAGCAATAGAAGGCTGGAACCCGGAGTGTCAATCCGCGTTCGACAAAGTTAAAAGATGTCTTGCACTCCATCAGTGCTCTCAAAGCCAGAACCAGGAGACATTCTGATCCTGTATCTGACTGTGGGGGAAGAGGCAATAAGTGCAGTCCTGATCAAGAAAACTAATAAAGGCCAGGAGCCAATTTGCTTTATCAGTAGAGCTTTGCAAGGTGCAGAGGTCAGATATCAAAAGCTAGAAAAGGTGGCTTTTGCTTTACTGATCATGGCAAGAAGATTGCAGCCATATTTTCAGGGATATCAAATAATAGTCAGGACCAATCAGCCTATACGACATGTGTTGCACAAGCTGGACCTGGCGAGATGAATGACTAACTGGGCAATTGAGCTCAGTGAGTATGACATAGTTTACGAAAGTCGGAAGGCCATCAAGTCACAAGCTCTGGCCGACTTCATAATGGAGCTAACACCAATGAACCCGAAACATAGCGAATCTGGGGATGCATGGAAGGTCTACGTAGATGGATCCTCCAATGATAAAGGAAGTGGAGCAGGAATCATACTTGAAAGCCCGGAAGGAGTAACAATAGAGCACTCTTTGAATTTGGGATTCCTGACTTCGAATAATAAAGCAGAATACAAGCTCTGATAGCCGGGTTGATGCAGGCTAAAGAACACGGAGCTAAGAGGGTGAAAATCTTTAGTGACTCACAAATGACTAACTGGGCAATTGAGCTCAGTGAGTATAACATAGCTTACGAAAGTCGGAAGGCCATCAAGTCACAAGCTCTGGCCGACTTCATAATGGAGCTAACACCAATGAACCTGGAACATAGCGAATCTGGGGATGCATGGAAGGTCTACGTGTAACGCCCGGCCGCTTCAAGAATCAATGACTATCCCCACATACTAACGCGAGACTTTTCAGTGTGCTTTTTCCTCACTCGCACACTTCCCGGGAAAACTTCCCAAGAGGTCACCCATCCCAGAATTGCTCCAAGTCAAGCACGCTTAACAATGGAGTTCTTCCGTTCTGGGCTACCGAGTGCAAGTAACCCCCGCTGGAAGCCTGTCAGGAGCCGCTCCTTGTCCGTGCCTCTTTGCACCAGCGATCACTCCCTGCCCTCGTCAGCGCTCGGGATGTTACATGCCCACCAGCTTCTTCCTGGTTCGTCCTCGAACCACACCGTACTGAAAGAGAGGCCCTGCTCTGATACCACTTGTAACGCCCGACCGCTTCAAGAATCAATGACTATCCCCACATACTAACACGAGACTTTTCAGTGTGCTTTTTCCTCACTCGCACACTTCCCGGTAAAACTTCCCAAAAGGTCACCCATCCCAGAATTGCTCCAAGTCAAGCACGCTTAACTATGGAGTTCTTCCGTTCTGGGCTACCGAAAAGCAGATGCATCTTGTTAGTATAGGTAGTACCAATTAATTCTTATAAGCTATCCCAAATTGTGCAGTCTCATACATGCACAGTCTTTGGAATCTCTCTCTTACGGGTGTCGATTCGATTCGTTCGTGCAAGTAACCCCCGCTGGAAGCCTGTCAGGAGCCGTTCCTTGTCCGTGCCTCTTTGCACCGGCGATCACTCCCCGCCCTCGTCAGCGCTCGGGATGTTACACTACGTAGATCGATCCTCCAATGATAAAGGAAGTGGAGCAGGAATCATACTTGAAAGCCCAGAAGGAGTAACAATAGAGCACTCTTTGAATTTGGGATTCCCGACATCAAATAATAAAGCAGAATACGAAGCTCTGATAGCCGGGTTGATGTAGGCTAAAAAACACGGAGCTAAGAGGGTGAAAATCTTTAGTGACTCACGAATGACTAACTGAGCAATTGAGCTCAGTGAGTATGACATAGCTTACGAAAGTCGGAAGGCCATCAAGTCACAAGCTCTGGCCGACTTCATAATGGAGCTAACACCAATGAACCCGGAACATAGCGAATCTGGGGAAGCATGGAAGGTCTACGTAGATGGATCCTCTAATGATAAAGGAAGTGGAGCAGGAATCATACTTGAAAGCCCGAAAGGAGTAACAATATAGCACTCTTTGAATTTGGGATTCCCGACTTCGAATAATAAAGCAGAATAAGAAGCTCTGATAGCCGGGTTGATGCAGGCTAAAGAACACGGAGCTAAGAGGGTGAAAATCTTTAGTGACTCACAGTTGGTAACTTCGCTATAGAAGGAAAGTACCAGGCCAAAGGTCCTTTACTGATGAAGTACCTGAGTAAGGTTCAAGAAATAATGGCCGACTTCGATAAAGTACAGGTCACTCGTATTCCTCGAGGGAAAAATTGCCGAGTTGATATCTTGTTTAAATTGGCAAGAACCAAAAACCTAGGCAACCACAGAACTGTGGTACAACAAAGCATAACAGTGCCGAGTTGCGTGATGGTTATTACCTCGGCAAGTGACTGGAGACAACCCATAGTGGCATACCTTGAGAAAGGAATATTGCCAGAAGATCGACTGAATCCAGAAAGTTGGTCCGAGATGCGACACAATACACAGTTGTGAAGGATCAGCTGTTTAGAAAGGGGTTGCACGTACCCATGTTGAAATGCTTAAACTCGGATGAAGCAGAATATGTTCTGGCCAAGATACATGAAGAAATCAACGACCATCAACAGGGAGGCAAAGCTTTGGCCCGAAAGGCCCTCCGAGCTGATTATTATTGGCCGACCATGGAGGCAGACTCTAAAGACCATGTGAAGAAATGTGATAGCTACCAGAAGCATGCCAAGTTAATTCTATCACCACCTGAAGAACTGAGGTATATCTCGGCACTATGGCCCTTTTTCAAATGGGGAATGGACTTGTTGGGACCCTTCAAAGCTACAGAAAGGCAGTTAAAGTGGTTGATTGTAGTTGTGGATTATTTCACAAAGTGGATAGAAGCAGAACCAGTCACCACAATCACCTCAGCTAGAGTACAAAGGTTCTTTGAACGGAACATAGTCTCCAGATTCGGGATACCGGGCGAGGTGGTTACTGACAATGGAACATAATTTGCTGATAAAAGGTTCCAACAATTGATGAAAGACTTGCAAGTCAAACATCGCTTTGCATCTGTGGAACACCCACAGTCAAATGGACAAGCTGAAGCAGCAAACAAGGTAATCGTGAATGGTCTTAAAAAACGAATGTTCGATGCCGAAGAAAGCTGGGTTCAGCAACTCTACTTTGTTCTTTGGGGATACAGAACGAGCACCCAAACTACAACAGGGGAAACCCCTATTCGACTAACATATGGTTGTGAAGCCATGATCCCGGTGGAAATCGGAGAACCTTCTTGGAGGAAGATGAATAGTAGTGAGCAAGGCGAGCAGCAGAACAGTAAGCTACTCACTGCCGAGTTAGACCTTGCTGATGAAGCTCGGGTTACAGCTCACTGCCGCGATATGATGGTTAAGCGACATATGGCAGTCAGATACAACAAGAAAGTAAGGCCAAGAATTTTCAAGAAAAATGATTTGGTACTCAGGAGAGAGGATATTGGAAATAAAAATGCCAGAGATGAAAAGTTAGCTGTAAACTGGGAAGGACCATACCGAGTTAGAGAAAAGCTTGGAAAAGGAGCCTAGAAACAGTGGAAGGAAAAGAAATAAAGCGGACTTGGAATACGGATAAGCTGAAGATATATCACAGCTAAATCCGAAGTCCGCCTTTCCAATATTTCAATATTTCAATTTGTTTAAAGTTTCCTAGATGACGTTTTTTCCTCTATTAG